CTAATATTGTGGCAAATGTTCATCCTCTCTAGCAATTAGGGGAATGCAAAAAGAAACAACTCACCCAAGTCTACACGCAAAAATCAAGCACACACAAACACACACACAAAGCCGGAGAAAATGTGGGGGATAGGAACTTTAACACACTCCTGGTGACACAGACACACGCACACACACACGCACACACACACACACACACAAAGCTGGAGAACATGTGGTGGATGGGAACCCTCATTCACTCCTGGTGGCGCGCACACACACACACACACACACACACACACACACACACAAAGCTGGAGAAAATGTGGGGGATGGGAGCCCTCATTCACTCCTGGTGGGTTGTAAACTGGTGCATTCACTCTAGAACAGTTTGGACAATTCTCGAGAGGCTAAAAAGAAATGCAGCACATGGCCCAGCTATGCCACTGCTTGGAATATGATCAGAGGACGTGACATCCTACCCCACTGATATTTCCTCAGACATGTTTGTTGCTCTTCATAATAATTATGAAATGGAAACAACCTAAATGATTTTCAACTGACAAGGGATAATGGAGATGTGGGACATGAACACTATAAAATGCTATTCTGTATAAAAAAAAAAAAAGGAAATCGTGACATTTGCAGGTAAATGGATGGACATAGAAAGCATTGTATTCAGTGAGATAAATCAGATCCCAAAAGACTGCATGTTCTTGCTCCTACATTTCAAAGCTCCCAAACTCCAGATCTGAGCATACAACGCAGAATAACCGCAGAAACTAGGAAGGTGAAAAGGGACTATGACAAACTGTTTTAAAGTTTCCACTTCTGAGATTAAAGCAGCATGGTCAAATGCAGCTTAGAGAGGAAAGGGCTTGTTTAAATTTACATCACTGAGGGAGCAGGAACTGCAGCAGAGAGTTGCCTGTTTCCACTGCCCAAGTGCTGGGATTACAAGCATGTACCACCACACCCAACTAACCTTTTATTTGTTAACAAAACTTTTCAGTGTCATTTTAGACTGTTTTGGGAGCAATATCCAGTAAAATAAGGTCTAGCTGATTAGAGCCACCCCCAAGATCCCAGCCTAGAAGGGAAAACCTATCCTCCAGGACTCTTTAACAATGCGACATAGCAGGAGTAAAATTAATGAAGGCAGAATGGAAGGTGTCATGGTCAGGAGATGTGACCCTTATGATCTGATATCTCTACAGGTGATTATAGAAAGAACAAAGATGCAGATGAACTAACACTTCTGTAATTACAAGGCCTATGTGTTAGGAAGAAAGGCCCATAAAGCTAGCCTCTGTGCAGGGTGTGGAGACGGGGCTATTTACCTCTCCTGCCTTCGCTCACACCACCTGGGAAGCTTGAGAAGGCTCGTCTGAGAAAACAGCATTGGGGTTTGATCTGAGTGGGAACAGCTAGGCATGGGCTTGGAAGCATGAGTTCCCTAAGGTACCTATTTGTGCAGAGACCTTAGTCAGGAAGAAGCTGCATCTAAGGCACTGAAGCATGTGAGGATGAGGGTAGGTTCCAGTTGACATTCAAAGGTAGACCAGAGCAGGGCCAGGATACTTCTCTAGGCCATCCTGATGATGACTTTTTCTTCCCAGGAAGGCTGTTTCCATACAGACGAAACAGAAGCTTAGGGTGACGATGAAGGTGGAGATTTAGAGAAGAGGACCCACTTAGAGACAGGATGAAAAGACAGAGCAAGCTGATGAAGGAGAGAATAAAAAGGAACAGGGAAGACTGTATCTGGTAGCTGAGGGAGTCTGTTTTAACCAGTGATGACTTCTTTCTTGGGGTAACTCACAGTTCTGTCACTGCTTCTTTCCAGCGTGAGAAATAGGGAATGACCGAATCACGGGCACACCTTGTGATCCTACCTCCATCCTCACAAACTTGAGATGATTGAGAGTGGGTGGGAAGGCAGAGGAAGAAGCCAGTAGGCAAGGTTGTCCAGAGGGCAGGGAACCTGAAGGAAAGATCCTTGAATGCGGATATCCTGATTGTTTCCCCTGTGCGCTATGACACAAAGAGTGTGCACATCTTGTCACTCTTAGCTTTTCTTCACATCGGATTGCACAAGTCTTCATTTGCACAAACCATGATATAGGGCAATAAAATAAAACACAGCTGTACTCTCCTGAAAGGGAGCCAGGAAGACAGAGAGACAAGGCAAGCAGAGAACAGATCAGGTTAGGGGGAAATTGTCTGGGGACCCCTAATACAGGAGATTTGGGGATAGGAATGCTGTGAAGGAACTTAGCCCACCCGGTCTCATCCTCTCAGTGTACCGATGTGAGAATCATGTCTATCCTATTTATTCTAAACGTGTGGAGATCTGGAAGGAGTCAGAAGTGTAAAACAAAGTAGCGCCTTCAGACAGCCAGTGCTAGCCAGGTCGAAACTTTTCTCCTTTTCTTCCCTTGCATTTTTAATATCATCAGAGTTGTATCACAAATATGACGTTTTGTTTCACTTTTAACATTGATATGGCAAACCGGTCTCAACCTCTTTCTTAATGCATGGGAAAGGAGGTTGAGAAAAGTTGATTGCTCTCAGATGTGCTGATTAAAGCTGCATTCCAACACTCAACCACTAGGGGGTGACTTTGTATAAAAGTAATTCCTTTGCCAGAGCCTGCTCTTCCGGATTGGGCGGTAGCTTTGCCAAAAAACCCAGAGGTGTTGTCCTCAGGCACTGCAAAGAGAAAGCAGAGAAGTCGGGGCCTAGGGCTGTGTAAACCTCTCTCACCATGTGGTCCCTACCGTGCCTGTTATTTTGGGTGTTCCCGTGGCTCTGGGTACAATCTGAAGGTGAGTAGAAGTGGGCACAGAATGGTCTGGAGAAGGAAGAAGATAGTGTGGGGCTAGCAGAGCTGTGGTCCTGTGTGGGTGGAGGTGGACCTTGGCAGGCTTGAAGTGCAGTGGTGGGAGAAAGTATGCTGATCTGGCTCAGACCTAAATGCAGTTCTGAACACTACCCTCCCTTTGCAAGCCCAGATAGACTCTTTTACAACCATCTGCCCGCTGACTTGTTTGCTTACTGTTCTCATCCGGTTTTCATTGTTTCCAGCCCAGCAAAATAATTTCCCCTTCAGGATCCTGCAGATCTCTTCCTTCCCAAACAGTAGTCGCTCAAGTACAGATAGTTTGGCCTGGCTGGGGGACCTGCAAACGCACCGGTGGAGTAATGCCTCTGACACCATTGACTTCGTGAAGCCCTGGTCCCAGGGCAAATTCAGTGACCAACAGTGGGAGCAATTGCAGCATATACTTCAAGTTTATCGATTAAGCTTTACCAGGGACATACGGGAATTTGGCAAAATGCTGCCTAATATACACTGTGAGTGGAGGGATGGAGCCCTAAGAAGGTACCGAGTGGGTGAGAGAGAAACCCAGACCCCAACTGGATAACTGTGGGCCTACTTGATGAGATTCTCTTTTTCTCCACCCTTAAGATTTTCACTTCTGTCTAGAGGGATCCTTGTCTCTTCTGAGAATAATCCCTGTCTCTGCTCCAGGACCCCGCAATCATTTCCCTCACCTGGGACATATCTCCATGCCAATTTCTTCTCCTCTCTTCCAAACTTTAACCATTATTGAATCTCTACACACTCCCCTTTACAGATCCTGTTGAGATCCAGATGTCTACTGGATGTGACGTGTACTCTGAGAATGCTTCAGAAAGTTTTTTCTATGTAGCATTTCAAGGAGAATATATCCTGAGTTTTCAGGGAACTTCCTTTCAGAAGGCCCCAGATACCCCACCTTGGACAGAGTTGGTCATTAAAGTGCTCAACGGTGATCAAGGGACAAGGGAAACCCTCCAATGGCTTCTGAATGA